CAAAAACCCCGGGATTCCCCCCAAAAACCCTGGGATTCACCCCAAAACCACAGGATTCACCCCAAAAACCCCGGGATTCACCCCAAAAACCCTGGGATTCACCCCAAAACCACAGGATTCACCCCAAAAACCCCGGGATTCACCCCAGAACCACAGGATTCACCCCAAAAACCCCAGGATTCACCCCAGAACTGCATCCCAACCCCCCAAAAACCCAGCATCCACCCCAAAACCCCATCCCAACCTGCCAAAATCCCAAAGATTCCCCCCAAACTGACCCAAATCCCCTCCAAACTCCCCCAATCCCCGAATTCCCCCCCGAATTCCCGATTTTTCCCCGAATTCCCGATTTCCCGCGGGTTTCCGGTACCTTCTGCATGCTCAGGGTGATCTGGCCCCCCTGAAAGCCCCCGGAGCTGCCGGAGCCGTAGGAGCCCGAGGTGAGCTGCAGACAGGTGAGCGCAGGTGTGTCCAGGTGAGTCTCACCTGACCCCGTTTGGGGCTCCCTGACCCCGTTTGGGGCTCTCTGACCCCGTTTGGGGCTCTCTGACCCCATTTGGGGCTCTCTGACCCCGTTTGGGGCTCTCTGACCCCGTTTTGGGGCTCTCTGACCCCATTTGGGGCTCTCTGACCCCATTTGGGGCTCTCTGACCCCGTTTTGGGGCTCTCTGACCCCGTTTTGGGGCTCTCTGACCCCGTTTCTGCCCCTTTTCCCGCCGTTTCCGGGCGCCCCGCCCGCCCCAGGTGCGTTACCTGCTCCAGGGCCTCGGCCAGGTGTCTGTCCAGCCGCCCCTCGCGCTTGCGCAGTTTGGCGCTGTCCCACTGCAGCCCCTCCAGCGTCGTCCCCATCTCCAGAACCTTCGTCTCCGCAGAGGTGGCCTTGTCCTGCAGCTCGGCCAGCTGGACAGGTGGGACAGGTGAGACCGGGGGGGACAGGTGAGATGGGACAGAAGAACGGGTGGGATAGGTGTCCCCAGGTGTGCCCAGGTATATCCCAGGTGTGCCCAGGTATATCCCAGGTGTATCCCAGGTGTGCCCAGGTATATCCCAGCTGTGCCCAGGTGTCCCCAGGTGTCCCCAGGTGTCCCCAGGTGAGCCCAGGTGTCCCCAGGTGTGCCCAGGTGTGCCCAGGTGTCCCCAGGTGTGCCCAGGTATATCCCAGGTGTCCCCAGGTGAGCCCAGGTGTCCCCAGGTATATCCCAGGTGTGCCCAGGTATATCCCAGTGTCCCCAGGTGTCCCCAGGTGTCCCCAGGTGAGCCCAGGTGTCCCCAGGTGAGCCCAGGTGTCCCCAGGTGAGCCCAGGTGAGCCCAGGTGTCCCCAGGTGAGCCCAGGTGAGCCCAGGTGTCCCCAGGTGTCCCCAGGTGAGGGCCGTACCTCCAGGGCCTCGCGCTGGTGTTTCAGGTGCAGCTGCTGGCTCAGCTCCTGCAGCCGCCGGTGCTCCCGCAGCAGCTCCCGCAGCAGCTCCCGGCCCGGCTCCGCCAGCTCCGCTGCAATTCCCGACAGATCACCCCAAATCCACCCCAAAACCTGGGAACCCACAAACCCCAAATCCCCACAAAGCTCCCCAAAAAAACTGCCGCGGAAAAAGAACCAAAATTCCCCAAAAGTGCACGAAAAGATGATCGGAACCCGAAAAATCAGAGACCCCCAGGAGCTCCAAAATCCCCAAAACTCTGCCCCAAATCCCCCTGCAAAAATCCTCCAAATTCCACAAAATTCCTCCCAAAATCAACCTTACAAGCCCCCAGGTGTGCCCAGGTGTCCCCAGGTGTGCCCCAGGTGTATCCCAGGTATGTCCCAGGTTCCCCAGGTGTTCCCCAGGTGTCCCCAGGTGTTCCCCAGGTGTCCCCAGCTGTCCCCAGGTGTCCCCAGGTGTTCCCCAGGTGTCCCCAGGTGTTCCCCAGCTGTCCCCAGGTGTCCCCAGGTGTGCCCAGGTGTCCCCAGGTGTGCCCCAGGTGTATCCCAGGTATGTCCCAGGTTCCCCAGGTGTTCCCCAGGTGTCCCCAGGTGTTCCCCAGGTGTCCCCAGCTGTCCCCAGGTGTCCCCAGGTGTTCCCCAGGTGTCCCCAGGTGTTCCCCAGCTGTCCCCAGGTGTCCCCAGGTGTGCCCAGGTGTCCCCAGGTGTGCCCCAGGTGTATCCCAGGTATGTCCCAGGTATGTCCCAGGTGTCCCCAGGTGTTCCCCAGGTGCCCCAGGTGTCCCCAGCTGTCCCCAGGTGTCCCCAGGTGCCCCAGGTGACTCACGGCGGGCGCTCAGGTGCCCCCCGAGCTGGTGCAGCCCCCTCTGGACGCGCCCCAGGGCCCCCCCCAGCCTGGCCACGGCCTCGGGGGCGAAGCTCAGCCGGGGTGGGGGAGGGGCGGCAGCCACGCCCTCCTCGGGCCCGCCCGCCCAGGGCTCTGCATTAATTAGCGCTAATTAGTATTCATCTATGCAAATCAGCAGCCAAGCTCCTGCCCCGCCCCCCCCCCCCCCCGAGTCTTAATTTTATCCCGAAATTCTCAGGAGCTCAGAGAACGACGCCGGATTCTGTGGAATTCACCAGAAAACTCCCAGAGACACCCCCAGAATCCCCAAACTGCCCCCAAAACATTAAACCCCCTCCCCAAAATCCCCAAACTGCCCCCAAAACGTTAAACCCCCACCCCAAAATCCCCAACCTCCCCCTGAAATCCCCCAAAATTCCCTTTAAATCCCCCAAATCCCCCGGGTTGCCCCTCCCCCGCTCTCACCTGTCCCCTCGGGCTCCCCGGGGGGGTTTGGGGGGGGCTCGGGGGGGTCCCCGGGGGGCGGGGCCGCCCCTCCCCCGTCCCCGTCGCAGCGGCGCAGCAGCGTCTGCACCTCCGAGTCCAGCTGGGGGGGAAAGGGTTAAAAACGACCCCAGGAACCCCAAAACCACCCCAAAAACCAGCCCTGAGCCCCAAAACAGCTGAAAAACCCCAAATCGCCCCCAAAGCCACCCAAAAAACCCGAAATCCTCCACTTTCGGCATCCCTGATGTCATTTCCTGTCAACGCCATCTTTTGCGTGTTCCACCTGTCCCAGGTGCGGCCAGGTGTGGTTTTGGTGTCCAAAAACCCATTTTTGGAGCTTTTTATGCCCTTTTTTGGGTGTTTCACCGGTCCCAGGTGCGGCCAGGTGCGTTACCTGCCCGCAGGTGAGGCTCACCTGTGCCCAGAAGCGGTTGACCAGGTGCAGGGTGGCGTCGTCCGTGGCCTGGCGCTTCTCGAGCTTCTCGATGCGCTCGCGGAGCTCGTCCTCGCACACCTGGCGCTGCTCCAGCCGCTCAGCCAGCTTCTTGTTCCGGAACTGCAGCACCTTGACGTCCATCTCCTCCTGCACAGGTGACACAGGTGAGACAGGTGAGAGACAGGTGAGAGACAGGTGAGAGGACAGGTGACACAGGTGACACAGGTGAGAGACAGGTGAGACAGGTGAGAGGACAGGTGACACAGGTGACACAGGTGAGAGACAGGTGAGACAGGTGAGAGGACAGGTGACACAGGTGACACAGGTGAGAGACAGGTGAGAGACAGGTGAGACAGGTGAGAGACAGGTGAGAGACAGGTGACACAGGTGACACAGGTGAGAGATGGGACAGGTGACACAGGTGACACAGGTGAGAGACAGGACAGGTGAGGCAGCTTCTTCTGGAACTGCAGCTCCTTGATGTCCATCTCCCCCCAGACACCTGCAGGTGTATCCCAGGTGTGTTTAACCCCCCAGGTGTGTTTAACCCCCCCCCAGGTGTGTTTAACCCTGCCCAGGTGTGTTTAACCCCCCAGGTGTGTTTAACCCCCCCCCAGGTGTGTTTAACCCTGCCCAGGTGTGTTTAACCCCCCAGGTGTGTTTAACCCCCCCCCAGGTGTGTTTAACCCTGCCCAGGTGTGTTTAACCCCCCAGGTGTGTTTAACCCCCCCCCAGGTGTGTTTAACCCTGCCCAGGTGTGTTTAACCCCCCAGGTGTGTTTAACCCCCCCCCAGGTGTGTTTAACCCTGCCCAGGTGTGTTTAACCCCCCAGGTGTGTTTAACCCCCCCCCAGGTGTGTTTAACCCTGCCCAGGTGTGTTTAACCCCCCAGGTGTGTTTAACCCCCCCCCAGGTGTGTTTAACCCTGCCCAGGTGTGTTTAACCCCCCAGGTGTGTTTAACCCCCCCCCAGGTGTGTTTAACCCTGCCCAGGTGTGTTTAACCCCCCAGGTGTGTTTAACCCCCCCAGGTGTGTTTAACCCCCCAGGTGTGTTTAACGCCCCCAGGTGTGTTTAACCCCCCAGGTGCCCCCAGGTGTGTTTAACCCCCCCAGGTGCCCCCAGGTGTGCTCACCGTGGAGGAGATGCCCCCCAGGCGCAGGGGCTCGATCAGGGTGGTTGGCGGCTGCTCCTCGCGGGGGGGTCTCTTCTCGGGGGGGCCCCCCCCGGCCTCGGGGGGTCCCCGCTTGGCCCCAACCCCCGCCATGGGCACCTGGGCACACCTGGGGAGTGAGGAATCCGGAGGGATCGGGGGGAAATCCGGGAGAAGCCGGGAAAATCTGGGGGGGCTGAATGGGGCTGGGGGGGGTTTGGGGGAGATCTGGGGGATTTGGGGGGAAATTGGGAAGATTTGGGGGGAAATTTTGGGGGGTCCTAAAGGAATTTAAGGGGTTTTAGGGGGGGAATTCCAGGGGAAATGATGGAATTTGGGGGATTTGTGGGATCTTTGGAATAACTTCGGGGGTCCTGTGGGGTCTGGGGGGGGAATTTGGGGCTCCTGAATGGAATTGGGAAGATCTGAGGTTTTTTTGATGCGCTGGGGGTCTTTAAAGAGAATTTTGAGGGCAAATGAGGAATTTAGGGGAGGAAATGAGGGTCCAGGGGAGCCTTTGGGAGAAAATTTTGGAATTATTTAGGGGATTCTGGAGGGAAATTGAAAATTCGGGAAGGTTTTGGGAATAGTTTTAGAAAGGATTGAGGGTTTGGGTGGATGGGGGAGGATTTGGGGGATATTAAACTGAATTCTGGGACTAAAAGCGGGGGATTTGGGGGCTTTAGGATGAAGGGCGATTTTGGGGAGGGTCTCAGGAAACATTTGGCAGTTCCAGGATGGAATTTCCGGGGGGATTTGGGTGTGGAGGCAAAATTTAAAGCACAGAATTTGTGGTTTTGGGTTGAAAAAAGGAAGATTCCGGGACGTTTGGGCCGCAGAGGGGACTGAAGGGGATCCCAGGACGGGAATTCAGAGACTCTCTCGGGTCAGGATCTGGGGAGAATTTGGAGAATTTTGGGGAGATTTTGGGATGGCCGGAAGGTCCGCGAAAGCCTCACTAAATATTTAAGCGCCGTCGGAGACAAATTCTGGGGGAATTTTGGGCTTCTTGAACGACAAAAGGAGCCGGGCGTCAGCGGATGGAATCGCAGGGCTTTGAGGGGGTCACGGGAGAGAAATGTGGGGCATTTTGGGAAGAACTTCAGCGATTTCGGGCCCTTCCAGAGCTCAGCGCCGCCTGAGGGACCAAAATGGCGGCCCGAGGGGACCCTGAGGGGACGGGGCTGCAACGGCGCCTCGGAGAGGCCCGGGAACGCTCCGGGGGGTTTTGGGGGTGGTTCGGAAAGGATTTGGGGTGGGTTTCGGTCGATTTCCAGCGATTTTGGGGGTTTTTGGGGGGTTTTAACAGGGCCCTTCCCGCCCCTCCCCTCAGAGCTCACCGGAGCCGGAGCCGCCGTCAGCGCCCCCTAGCGGTGCGCCGGCACCGCGCGCGCGCGAGACCACGCCCACCGCGAACTCTGATTGGCTGAGCCGCATTGGTCACGCCTTAACCCCCGCCCTCCGCGTTTTGATTGGCTGAATCTTCTTAGACCCCCCTCGTTACCATGGTAACAGAGAAAGGGCGGGAAGAGGCGGAGCCCGCGGCTCTTAAAGGGGCCGCATTAAAGCGGCGATGGCGGCGGTGGGGCCCACAAAGGGTTTGGGGACCCCTGGGACTCCCCCAAAACACTTTGGGCACCGCCAGAACCCCCTAAAAATCCTCAAAATACCCAAAAAGAGACCCCAAAACCCCCCTGGGGACCCCCCAAAATCCCCACCAACCCAAATCCCTCACAAAAAATTCGCTGGGTCCCCCCAAAGTTCCCCCAAACCCCCAAATCCCGCACCCAGGGCTCCCCAAATCCCCAGAAATTTCTGAAATCCCCCCCAAATTCCCCAGCACCTGTTAAAATTTCCCCCCAAACCCCTCCAGGGCTCCCAAGGCTCTCCCAAACATCCCTCAAATACCCCAAATTCCCTCAATTTCCCCCAAATTCCCCCAACAGCTTCTCCAGGATCCTCCAAAATCCCCCAAAATTCCTTCAAGACCCTCCAATCTGTTCCAAAACCCCCCTAAACCCTCCCAGCACCTGAAAAATCTCCCAACTCCGTTCAAGATCTCCCAAAATCCCCCCCAAATCCCCCTTGAAACCCCAGACCCTCAACCCCACCCAAAATTTCCTATTTGCCCCCAGAATTCTCCATAAAAACGCCCAAAAGCGTCCAAGAAAACCCTCCCCAGTCTCCCCGCTGCCACTCAGGAGCCACAAATTTGCCTCAAAAGCGCTCTAGGGTCCCAAAATCTCTTAAGTCCCCCCTAAATTCTCCACAAAACCCTTAAAAGAACCAACAAAACCCCTCTGGGACCCCTCAAAATCCCTTTTCTACAAAAGCCCTTCAAAGCCCGCCTGGGATCCTCCAAACTCGCCCCAAAATCCCCCCCAAAACCCTTCCTGGGGAGGGGTCCCCAAAACTTGGAATTTTTAACCCTTTTTATTCATGGCAGGAAAAGCTTCGAGGGGACGAGGGAGGAGCGGGGTCCCCTCCCCCGCCCCGGGGACCCTCCCCTCCCCCAAAGCCCGGCCCCGCCCCCCCGGCCCAGCACAAAGCACCTTTGCATAGATCGGGTTCAAAAGGAACCAATTTTACAACGAGAGGGGGAGGGGAACGGAAACGGGGGGAAAAAATGCCCCTCCCCCACCCCCCGGAACCCCCCCAATTCTGCTGGGCCCGGTCCTGAAACAAGATGGCCGCCAGGGCTTAAAATGGCTGCCAGGAGTCATGGCGGGAGGCAAGATGGCCGCCGGGTTTCGGTGTCAGCTCGCAGTCAAGATGGCCACCGGGAATCAAGATGGCCGCCGGGAATCAAGATGGCTGCCGGGAATCAAGATGGCCGCCGGGAATCAAGATGGCTGCCGGGAATCAAGATGGCCGCCGGGAATCAAGATGGCCGCCGGGATTCACAGACGTTGGCAGGAAACAAGATGGCTGCCAAGTCAAATGTCGGTCAGAGTCAAGATGGCCGCCAAGAATCAAAATGGCTGCCGGGAGTCGCGGCAGCGTGTGGTTCGAGATGGCCGCTGGTTCCATCGTCTGCTCGTGGCCAAGATGGCGGCTGGTCGGTCAGAGACAGAACGGCCACCACGACACAAGATGTCCGCGTGATTGTGGACGCGGGTCGCGGTCGAGATGGAGGCCGGGCGGGGCCAAAATGGCCACTGATGATGTCACTGATTTCAAGATGGCTGCTGGTTCTGACAGGCGCTGGAGCAAGATGGCCACTACCAATGATGTCATCAGCTTCAAGACGGCCACCACCTGTGATGTCACAAAGTCCAAGGTGGCCGTTCACGATGTCACCAGCTCTGACGTCACCACATTCAAGATGGCCGCCGACGACATCCAAGAGTCCAACACCAGCTCGCATTTCAAAGATGGACGCCACAGGTGACGTCACCAATCCTAACGCGGCCACCGGAAGCGACGTCGCAGACGCCCGACGTCGCCATCTCGGACTCGCCGAGGCGGCCATCTTGGACCTACCCAGCAGCCACCTTGGCCACGCCCCAAGCCTTGTCGGCCATCTTGGGGTCGCGCGGAGGTCACGGCGGCAGCCATCTTGGTTCCACCCAAAGGTCGTCGCTGCTCGTTCTGGAGTCGCCCCGAGGTCGCTGTCGGCCATATTGGGGTCACTCAAAGGTCACGGTGTCGGCCGTTTTTGGGTCACTTTCGGCCGTTTCCGGGCGCTAAGGCCGGTCCCGTCGGCCACGCTGGGGACGATCGGAGCTCGCCGTCTCGGCCGCCTTGGGACCGCCCACAGATCGCGTGACCACGTCCACGCCGCCGTCCGCCATTTTGCGCCGCATCGACCGTTCCGCGCTCGCCCCGTCGGCCATTTTGTGCCGCTCCCGCCGTCGGCCACCTTCCCCCGCCCCGCCGCCGCCGCCGTCTCGCCGCGCCCGTCACGTCTTGGCCTTCCTCCCCCTCAGAGCCGTCCCCGCCCCCGCGGGCGCTTCCTGGGACGCCGCCCCTCCCCCGCCCTGCGCCGGGGGGGCCGCGCAGCGCCGGGGGGGCTGCAGCCGGCGGGGCGGGGCCGCGGGGGAGCCCCGCCCTCGGCGCCGCCTCCCGGCTCCCGCGGGGCGGGCGCCGCCCCCTCCCCCGCGCCGCCGCTTGGCCGGGGGCGGGGGGAGGGGCTCCCTCCTCCTGGCCCCGCCCCCCGCGGCCCCGCCCTCGTCGCCGCCGTCCTCGGGGGGGCGGGGCCTGCGCCGCGGCTCGCGCTGCAGGGGCGGGGCCAGCGGGGCCCCGGGGCGCGCCCGGGTGGATCGGGGCGGGGCGGGCGAGGCCGGGCGGGGGCTGGGCGGGGCGGAGCCTTCCCCTCCCCCGCCGCCGCGCTCGGGCGACGCCATCTTGGGCGGGCGGCCGCGGCGGCGCTTGCGGGGCGGAGACTGCCCGGCCCCGCCCCCGCCCGGCCCCCGCAGGGGGCGGCCCCGGCGCCGCCCGGCGACCTCCGCGGCGGGGGCGGGGCGCCGGGCGGGGCCCCCGGGGCGGCGGCGGCGCGACCGCGCCCCTCCCCCGCCCAGGAGGCGCCGCTTGGGGGGGC